GGACGCCTTGGCCCGACTGAGCCTCCTCGCGGCCCTCCTCCCTCCTGGATCCCCCCGCGCGCGCTCGCGCAATGGTACGGGCCTGCGCTGCCGGAACTGTCGGAGCCGTTGCCCTGGAAACCGAGTTCTTCCTAGTCAGTTAGACCCTGAGGGTTAACCCTGTCGTCGCCGTGGGAGAGCAGCTGTCAGCCGTGAGCCTCCCCACGCTGCTTCTCTGAATCCGTAGCCCGTTATGGAGTCTTTCCCTCTCTGGACCACGCCCGGACGCTGTTCCTTCCCTGCTTTGCTGCTGTGACGCCTGCACAGCCTATTCCTGTAGTTATCCTCCGATTTTTGACCCTTATTTTACACCCTCCTCCCTTTATTTTTCTTGCAGGACTCTCCTCCCAGTAGCAATGCTCAGTGATCATCACCCCAACTCTCCTTCCTTTAAGTACAGTCCCTAATGCCCCTTAACACATCACTGTTATCACGACCCTAGTCTCTCCAGTGGGGATTTGTTTGTTTTTCTCCAACCTCTTGCTTTATATTGGAGGAGAAACTGGATTTTATTCAGCCGAGTTTAACACTGACCCTCTCAAGTGCTCGTTCTAAACTTTTCTATAATTATCCATTACTGCTTCCTTATAGCATCTTCTGGTTGTTCCCAGACACTGCTCTGTTTCCCTCAGTGTTTTATGCATCAGAACTTTCTTCCACTTCCGCATTTGCTGCCACCCCATGCCCTCAGCCCACTTCGCTACTAGACAAGAACATCCTTCCCTGAACCTTGTTTAATCTTTTTTTCTCATTATCCTCTTAAACTATAAATTGCATGTCCCAAATTGTACTGGTAGTAGATATATTTGTGAGTGCTGACACAACTATACTTTTTTTTAAAAGTAAAATAAATCAACTTTGATCTAGTTGAAATTGCAGATGTCTGATGTTTTATGAATTGTGTTTTATGGAAACAGGGCAATGTTGTATTCTAGAATGTAGCCTTGGGGTCTGTAGTGCCCACATGAAGGATATAATTTCAGAGTTTTATTTTAATTATCGCCAAACCTAGAATTTTTGGACCAGATAAAATGGCCTTGCACACTTTCTAATTAATTTATTACATAAATACAAAGCAGTCTATCAGAATTTATCAGGAAAGATTTCATTGATTTGGGGGGAACCTGAACAAGATTTTGAATGGATTCCATACTCAGTGCATGATATTGTTAACTTGTGGCTACTTCCCTTTTACCCAAATGACGAATGCTAGACCAACTACCTATAGATTAACTAATAGGCATAGTACACATTATATAACCACAACCATGCCTCCTTCCTAAATCAGGAAATACAAAAGCAAAAATTCCTACAGTCTTATAACCTCTCCCACTTTATACATGGTGTGAGGCTCAGATTTTTATAACCTTCTGAAATAATAGATTTTACTGTTAATTACCAGATAATTTCACGTGTACAGTGGCAATTAGTGTCACAATTCTGGGGGATTCTTGAGCTTATACACTTCTCCTGGAATGTGTCTAGGCTTATATTCTTCCCAATCATGTCTGCTTAAATTTTTACCTTAAACACTACATGAAAGCCCCTGTTTGGATGTTGTGTGGATGTACATGTGTTTGTACTCATGTGGAGGTCTTGATCCAAAGCATCTGAGTGTACCTTACCTCACATGGAGGCAGGGTGTTGCAGGCAGGCCCTAGCCTGACATATTAAAAGGGGGCTTTGTGATTTTCTTTTCTCCAGAAAGGGCATCATTCTCTGAAAAGTCATTCAGAGATTCCTGGAAGAACTTTCTCTAGAAGTTGGCCACCTGGTCCTCCTTTCAACAAAACTTTTTCTTGAGTTGAATGTTATAGCATTTTATGGATATACAACCTTTTATTTAAGGCATTCAAATATAAATTATGAGAAGCTTCAGCAGCATGATTATTTTCACATTCGATAAATAGGAAAATATAGCATCAAGAAACATCTTAGAATGTAACAGTAGGAGAAAAGAAGTATGGCAGTGAATAAGCCGAATGCTGAGTCACTTTGTGATTTATTTGGCATTAGGGAAATGACTCCTCTTTCTGGGTCTCAGTTTCCTCATTTTACACTAAAGTGATTTCACTAAATAATCTTCAGAGACCTCCAGAAACAGACTGTTTGCTCAGAACCTGTCCTGTGTTGCCTCCTTCACTGGGGATTATATACTGTTTCCAATGCGGGGTTCAGGTTAAGACTGTTTTTACATGCTTCTTAGGGGTTTTGTTTTATGTTCACATTTGAAAAATAAAATATTTGAAGGGTATATACAGAAAAAATTGTTTATGTTTCTGCAAGTTGCATCCAGAACTTTGTTTCTTAATGTGTTACAAAGTCCTGTTAGCCTTGCTGGGCCTGGTGGCATATGCCTGTAATCCCAGAACTTTGAAGGCTGAGGCAGGATTGCAAGTTTGAGTCGTGCCTGAGCAATTTAGCAAGACCCATTCTCAAAATAAAAAATAAAAAAAGGGCTGGGGATGTAGCTCATTGGGGATGTAGCTCTGGGATCAATCCCTAGTCGTATGTGCGCACAGGCACACACACACACACACACACACACACACACACACACACACACGGAATTTTTTTTTAAATCTAGATTTTCAGGTAAGTGAGTTTTTCTCTTGAGTGTGGCCTGAGAAAATTGAGAAATCCTACCCAAAGATCAGACCTCCTTAAAGATGCATATTTTCTTCTTCTTTCAGGGAGGGAAGATCTGGAAGGGAGGATTGAAGATTAGAAGAGATTTGTAACTTAATTCCTCATTGAAATATTAATACATATACTCAGCATATATCATAATTTATCCAAGAATTCTAGGTACTGATGATAACTATGGACTTTTGAGAATTATAAGGTACTGCCTTTCCAACCATGATTGCTTCCCCCCCACAACCATGATTTCTTGAGAGGAACATTCTCACCATCCCTAACTAATACATTTCTTGGTTAGTGTATATTGTTAAGAGGGGTCTGGATGTGGTGGCACAACCCTGTAATCCCAGCTACTGGGGAGGCTGAAGCAGGAGGACCACAAGGTTAAGTCCAGCCTGGGCAATTTAGCAAGCCTGTATTTTAGATTAAAATGAAAAGGGCTGGGGATGCATCTCTACACTGGAGCACTTACAAACCATGTACAAGGCCCTGGGTTTAATCCCTAGTACTAGAAAAAAAGTATATACATATATGTATATACATATATTTATGTGTGTGTGTGTATAGAATATTATTCAGCTCAAAAAAAAAAAAGAAATTCTGATGTACTTATGAACCTTAAGGACATTATGCTGAATGAAATAAGCCAGTCATACAAGGTTAAAAACTGTATGATTCCACTTATGTGAAGTACTACAGTAGTCATAATCATAGAAACAGAAGGTAGAATGATGGTTGCCCAAAGGCAGAGGGTTGAGGGTTGGGGAGTTGGGAGTTGTTAATGGAGTTTTAATTTTACTAATGAAAAAGTTTCAGAGGTTGATTGCTCAATAATATGAATATACCTAATACTATATTGTGCACTTAAGCTATTACATTTTATGTTATGTGTATCTTACCATAGTTTTAAAAATTTTTTAAAGATTTAGCTGGGTGGCGGCACACCTATACTCTTTGTTACTCAGGAAGCTGAGGTAGTAAGATCACAACCACAGGAGTTCAAGACTAGCCTGGCCACGGAAGTGAGACCCCTGTCTTGAAAACAGATAATAAGTGAGGTGTGGTGCCACATGCCTATAATCTCAGCACCCTGAGAGGCTGAGGCAGGAGGATCACAAGTTCAAGCCCAGCCTGGACAGTTTATTGAGGGCCTGTCTTGAAGTTTTAGAAAGGGCTGGGAAGTAGCTCAGGGTGAAAGCCCTGGGTCCAATCCCTAGTACCATAGATTTTTATTCAGTTAATTTAAGCAGACAAAAATTTTTTGTGTGTGGTACTGGAAATCAAACCCAGGAGGTACTGTACTGCTAAGTTCCATCTGTAACCCTTTTTATTTCTTGAGACAGGGTCTTGCTAAGTCACTAAGTTGAGTAGGCTAGGCTCAAACTTGCAATCCTTCTGCTTTAGCCTCCCAAGTAGTTGGGATAACAATTGTGCAACATGGCTCCAACTCGACCAATATTTTGAAATAAAGACATTAAAAAGGGACACATATGTTAAAAGAATTGCCTCATTAACAGACTGCCAAGATCACCCTCAAAGTATTTTTTTATTCTTTCCCAAATTATTAGTTTGCTATATATATCTGATAAATGTAGGCTTTAGTGTCATCTGCATCACCCCCATAAAAATAAGGCTTGAGATCTGGGTAGCTAGAACCCCCTCATTTGGGTGACTCTGCACTGACTGTGTTGTCTACACTGGAGAGCTTATTAACAGTGAAAGGGGGTACTATTGAAACTATCCCCTCAGCACTGGGGAAGTAACTCAATGATAAAGTACATGCCTAGTGTGCCCAAAGCCATGAGTTGGATCCCCAGCCCTGGAACACCCCCATGAGGTTTCTTTTTGTAATTTGTAATTGGAAGACACCCCCACCCCACCCCAGTTATGGAGATTGAATTCAAGGCCTTCACGTTGAGCTATATTCCCAGCTTTTTATTTTGTGACAGGGTTTTGCTAAGTTGCCTTAGGGTGGGATTTGAACTTTAGATTCTTCTGCCTCAGCCTCTCAGAGGGCTTTTAATTTGTAGCTTTTGAGTGTAAAGTATGTGTTCATATTTTCAAGCACCCAACCAAAGGATAAGAAACTCAGAAATAGAATAATCCCAAGTATCAGCTATTATTATTTTGTTGTTGTTATTACTATTATTATTATTATTATTATTATTTTATTACTTTGGTACCAGGGATCAGACTTGGGACCTTGTGCTTACCAGGCAGGCAGCGGAACCATTGATCTAAGTCCTGGCCCTCAGCTATTATTTATTAATATTGACAGATATTTTAAGTACTTGTTACAAAACTGGTGGATAAGACAACTCTAGAAAAATAAAGTATGTTGGAAATGTAGCCATTTCTAGGGCATGGAACACTTGGGTGGATTTGCAGTTTATTCACTAATTTAGGAAATAGTAATATAGATTACATGCACCCTTCTGTGCTATGAAATAAGCAAAAGATATTAGAGATTATATTTCTGTAAGTACTCAAGACCCACCACACTGGCTAGAAAATACCCACTGACAATGACTGTGTTTGTTAGAGTTGCAGATGCTAACAGAGTAGAAGAAGTAAAATGATTTCAATTTAGATGAAGCACAGTGCAGCTTAGAATTTGAATAGACGTCAGAGGGAGGAAGGGCATTATGTATAATGGAAGTTTTATTAGGGAACAGGCTGAAGTTTTTTCTGGTTTGGAAAAAAATAACATTATCATAGCTACTATATGCCATCCCTCATTGCTATAGATTTTCTATGTTGAGGCATTCATTTGGTTAATTTTTAAAAAGCAACATCTCAAAGAATTTTTAGCTTTACTTTTCAAGAATAACAAACTTTCATTTTAACTCTGATTTGTCTGAGATTAGTATTCTGTGTCAGAAGTCAGAAAATTTTAGTTAATGGTTTGAACTTGGCTGCTATTTTTATAACCGAGTTTGTTTGGAGGAAAAAATGTTTCTAATCAGCTTTCTCCTCATCTGTGCCATTTTCCCTTTTGACAGTAGAGCTTGGCAAAACCATCCAGGTAAGGGGAACCAGAGGAGCCCTTCAGAGTGTCCTGCCTGGTCCCCTGGGAATCCCTGGTGCAGCTAGCCGCCCTGTGAGTCTCCCTTACAAGCCTATGGAGGGCTTCTCAGCACAGGTCTGTGCCTGTGGTAGTGTGGAGGGTCAACTTGATTGGCTTTGGGATCAGTGGACACCCTTCTGGGGGTGTCTGGGTAGGTCAGAGAGGTGTGACCTTCGCGTCTATTTTTGAACCTTGTCCATTTCTCTCTGGCACTGCTCCCTGCTCTGCTTCTCAGCTTCTCAACTAAACAGCTGTGCTCCATATATCTTTCTGCCATGATGTTTTTGGCCTTGGAGCCAGCCAATCATGGACTGAATCCTCTGAAACCGTGAACCAAAATTGAATCCTTCCTCCTTTAAATGATGGGTGTCTGGTATTGTGTCTCAGCAGTAAGAAAGCTAACTAACACAGTTCCTGAGGTGGCATTGAAAGCTAAATTCACACTACACTTGGGGCTTGGAGCTGTCTATGCCTTTGAATTCTGGCTCTCTTCATTTCGTGACCTATGGCAAAGTGACTTAAATTCTATGAGCTTCTATTTCCTCATCTATCAAACAAAAGTACTTTCTGTTCCCAGAACTGTTGTGAGAAATCATTCAGGGGAAAAGAAATCCACCAGAAAGGAAGGGCCTAGAATAGAACCCAGCACACAGTAAGGACTTAATAAAAGCTATTTCTGCTTTTTTTCACTTATAAACAAACGTACACAAGGGAAAAACCTTTGTACAGATATACCCTAAGTCACACAAATATGCATTTGCTGGCAGTTAAACCTTTCTTAAACTCTATTTCCTGTTTTTAAGAAACGTACAGGTTAGAGAAGAGGAAACTCAGCAAAAGTGCAGAGCATAATACCATAGTCTTTGGGTCAGAGCAAGCTGTCTTCTGTCTCTGTGTCTCATCTTCTTTGTGAGTCAGGAGGAGTGTCATGTTCCATTGCCTTACAGAGGTCACACTCCTTTTCTGCCTGCCAGCCAGCCAGCCTGGGGCCTTTGACTTTGGTTTTCATTACCAACCCTTACACTTTCTTCTAATTAGAGCAGTGGTTCTCAAACTTGGCTGGGTATTCCAGTAACCTCGAAGGCTTCTGATTCAGGATGTCTTGGAGAAAGGAGGCAGCAATGCACTTTCCTGATGCTTCCCATGTGATGAGGACCCTAGAATTCACAAGCCCTGATAAAACTACCTCCTAATATGCAGCCTTTCTTCTGCTTTAAATTTTTTTCTAAATTACACTTCCTTGGCAGAGTATGTGGTTATCATGTCAATCCCCAGAAACACCTCCCATACACACACACACACACACACACACACACACACACACCTACACATTTTAAGGGCTCTCTTATTTTATTTATTTATTTATTTTTGAGACAGGGTCTCACTGTGTAGTTGAGACTGACCTGGAACTCACTATGTAGCCCAGGCTGGTCTTGAACTCACAGCGATCCTCCTACCTCAGCCTCCTGAGTGCTGGGATCACAGGCATGTGCCACCACACCCGGCTAAGGGCTCTCTTATTTTAGTAAAATGAAAATAATATAGTAAAAAATCCTTTTTGCACCTCTTGTCTTTGATTTTTAGATTATAAGCTCCTTTGGTATGAAGACTGAATGTTTTCTTCAGTGATAGAGTGAAAAGAGCATCAGTTTTAGAGTCTAATGGACATTAGGATAAAATTTTGACTTTGTAATTTATTATCTTTATGACTTTGGACAAATTATTTCACCACAGTGAGCCTCAGCTTTCTCATCTGAAAAATGGAACTGATGACTCTCACTCATATCTTGGGAATTTTATGAGGTCTGAATGAGGCCGCATGCATACCCTCCTCGTACAGTCGTAGCCTGTAATGAAAACAGCTGGTGCACAGTGAGCCTTTACTACTTAGCAGGCATTCTTTTCAGGTGTTCGCATAACCGAGCTTTACCCTATCATCGTAACAGCTCATCTTCACAAGCTGTGAAGAAGGCTAATTACTATCTCCATGTTGCACATGAGGAATGCGTAGCATGGAGAAGCAGTTTACTCAAGACCACGCAGCTAACGTAGGTGGGTGTGGCCTCAGTGGACTGGATGTGGAGTTCACATCTACACCATTGTGCTTTGCTGTGTGCACACTGCAAGGTTAGCTTTCCAGCTTGCTGGGATGCACTCATTGTATGGCCCCGAATATAGAGGGATCTGTGATGGTGAATTGTGATTTGTAAACTTGAAGATTACTAAAGCTCTGGGTGTGTCTGTGGATGACTGACATGTAGATAGAAAACTGAAGAGGAAAGACTCACTCTGGATGTTAATCGCACTAACCAGTAGGCTTGTATCCTGGACAGAACGAAAAAGGATAGAAGTAAATCTTCCCTTTTCTTCTGTGGAGGAGCTGTAGTCTTCAGTTTGCTTTCAGATGTTTGTGTCCAGTTCCTTCAGGCTTCCAGTGCAGACTTTTCGGCCTTCTAGGTAGACCCTTCAGCTTTCCCACAGACTCACACCAGACTCTGCAGTGAGCCCCAGGCCTTCCCTCAACCGGATCTTTCAGCTCTCCAGCACACAGATGGCCATTTTGCATTCTTCTGTCCTTGATTCTGCAGGTGGCCGTTTAAGCTGTCTTAGTCACTTTCTTAGCTGCTGGAATAAAATGATCAATATCTGCAATTTAAAGGAGGAAAGGTTTATTTTGGCTTATGTTTACAGTCCATGGTCCGCTGGTTCCAAGACAGGACTGTACAGCAGAGGGATATAGCAGAGGAGAAGCTGCTCATGTCATTGTGGTAGGGAAGCAGAGAGCATACAGGGCGAAGCCTCGGATGGAGATAAACTCCTCCAGGCCACCCCCATAGTGTCCCACTTCTTCAGACCAGACCCCACCACCTGATAGCAAATCAGCTGTAAGCCCCTATAATCCAGTCACCTTCTAAAATCCCCACCTTTGAGCACATGAGGCTCTTGGGGGATATCTAGATGTAAGGCATAACATAAGCCTACCTAGTAAATCCTTTGCATAATCATATACAGTGTATATTTTATGTAGAAATTGTTCCTTTAGTGAACCCTGATACAGATTTTGGTACAGAGAGTGGTTTTAGAGAAACAGTTTTAAGGATGAATTTATCTAACTGATTTAGTGGATTGTACTGTTTAATACACAGCTAGGTCCATATTATTATCCAATTCACCCCTTGTGAGATACAGCTAATTTAATGACTCTGGGTGTAGTACTTCTGAACATTTTTGGGAGAGTGGGAAATGGTTCAGATCCCACAGCACGAGCCACGAAGAGGTCCGCTATCCTGCCAAAGAGCTTCTTGAGTTTTCTAGTTCGTACAAGCAGAATTCTGAGGAACAAGTATAGGAATGGATTTTAAGGGTGTGGGATAATGTGGAAGAAACAAAGACGGATCAGGCTGAGTCTCTCAATTTGTGCCCATTAAGTAGAGATTCTGAATATGATGTTGCAGCCAGTGGACTTAAAAGAGGTGTTAATAGTTTATTTGGCTGGCTGGCTGAGGTATGGATCAGTAGATGGCCTGGTGTGAGTGAGCTAAAGATGCCTATTTTTTCTTGATTGACTGTGATGAGGGTATTCAAAGACTCAGCGCGTCATGGCGCGTGCCTGTAATCCCAGCACTTGGGAGGCTGAGGCAGGAGGATTACTGTGAGTTTGAGACCAGCCTGGACTACATAGTGAGTTCCAGGTCAGTCTCACTATATGGTGAGACCCTGTGTCAAAAAAAAAAAACAAAGACTCAGAAATGGGAATGCTGGAGTGGATTTGCCAGGTAAACCCTACTCCATTTTTATTGGATTTCTGTTCCATTTTTAGTATATGTGCTGCCGAAGTGAGCACTCTGTTCCATTTTTATTGGATTTATATAAGCAGAATAAAATTAGGGCAAATGAGTAAAATTGTGCTTCAAATTGCAGATGTAGAATCACAACCCTTCAGCCAGTTCTCAGACTTGAGCTAGTTTACAGACCCAGAACCCCTTCAATGAAGGGGAGAGCAGGTCTCCTTTTGGTACACTACTAAAAAGTTACATTGTCAGTTTTCTCCTATTGGTCTCCAAAGGGACCTAAAGCCTCCTCCTTGCCCCTGGGTACCAGGAATTGAACTTAAGATATGAGCTTGCAAGCCAGGTGTAGCATCACTGAGCTAAACACCGCCCCCCCCGCCACCTTTTTTTTGAGACAGGGTTTCACTGTAACCCACTAGCAAAATTTTTGCTTCCTGTTCCTGCAACCTATGTCTTCTGGCCTAGAAGTTTTGGTTCTAGAGTGGGGTAAGGCTTGTAGCAGGAAGCCCAGTGATAATTCTATTGAACTGGAAGCTAAAACTTCTCCCTGGTTGTTTTGGATTCCTCATACCTCTGAGTAAACAAGCTAAAAAAAGAGTTACAGTGTTGGCAGGGGTGGTTGATCCAGACTATCAAGGGGGAAATTGGACTATTACTCCACAATGGAGGGAAAAAAGAATATATTTAGAGCACAGGAGATCGATCCCTTAGGATTATCTTAGTATTACCATAACCTGTTATTAAGGTCAGTGGGAAACTAGAACAATCCAATCCAGGCAGGATGACAGGTGGCCCAGAACCTTCACGACTAAAGGTATGGGTCACCCTATCAGGTCAGGTAAAGAAGCAAAACCTTCTGAGGTGCTTGCTGAAGGTGGTGAGAATACAAAATGGGTAGTAGAAGAAGGTAGTTATAAATACCAACTATCACTGTGTGGCCAGTTACAGAAATAGGGATTATCATTGCTACGAGTATTTTTTCCTATTTTGTTAATATGCTTATGCATAACATACAGTAAGCATGTACCTTTGCTTTCTTTCTTTGTAACATAATGTTGATAGACTGAATATTAGTTCTTAAGTATGATTAATTCTATATTACAATGTTTAAGTTATGGTATGTTAGAAGAATAACCATCATCCAGGGCTGGGGATGTAGCTCAGTGGTGCAATGTTTGCTTAGCATGGTTCAGTCCCCAGTACTGCTCAAAACACCCCAAAATAAAAATAAAAAGAGGAATGCGTTAAAAAAAAGAGAACAAGCATTACCCAAAGAAGCATTACTTTGCCCTTTATTCTAGGGAGAGAATAATGAGCTTGCATTTGTAAACAGGATAGATAATTGTATCGTGTTAGGTATTATTCTGAACTTGTATTTGGAGTCTAAGTATGGCTGCGGTTTAAGGAGATGTGTCTGGTTGTCAGGTTGACAAGGCATGGGTTTTGATCAGTAGTTGTGGAATGTCAGTTTGACTAAGAACCACCTAGCAGATTGAAGTTCTGGGTGTGTCCGCCCATGATTGACAGATAAGCCATAGACTGAGGAGGGAAGAACCAACCTGGACCTGGGTGGTATTAACCAATAGGCTTGTAGCCTGGACAGAATTAAAAGGGAAAGAAAGCAGTCTTCCATTTCCTGCTTTAGAGGAGCTCCAGTCTTCGCCATTGCTGTTGGACATTCATGCTTCTGGTGTAGACTCTTCAGCCTTCTACCACAGACCCTTCTGCTTTTCTACAGACTCACACCAGAGTCTGCAGTGAGCTCCAGGCTTTGGCCCTCAGCGGATCCTCCAGCCTCTAACATAGATAGCCATTTTGTGTTCTTCCACCCATGATTCCTCCAGCAGCTATTATAAGCCTACCTAGTAAATCCTTTATATAATCATATATTTTTAAAGAAATCTGTTCTACTGAACCTTAACTGATAACAGGGTACATGAAGTAGTGACCAGCAAGGGATGAAATACGGTCTGTTCTTCGAGCACGAGAATACAGTGAAATGTGGCTGTCATAAGAAGCACTTGGAAGGTCAGTATTTTTGTGGGTGCTTCGGGGAGGGGCACCTGGATGACTATATAGTCACACTGAGGATAGATGAGCTGATACCCATTTTTATACCTCTAGGCCCACAGCTGGCTGCATCGCTGGCTCTGGCTTTGAGTAAAAGGAAATGTACTTGTTTGTCCTTATGTCACCCTCTAGTGGTTACTTCCCAATTAGCCCTTTACCCATGAACCAGCCCACTCTTGGTGTTAGTGACCTGGCTTCCAGATGAGTCAGTATGCAGAACCTAAGGCACAGCTCTGAAAAGCATGGCTGGATGAGAAAAGAGTGTGGACTCTGGGAATAATTATTAGTAGTCTCCTGGCAGAGAAGTCGAAGGCAGAATACAAGAAGAGGAGAAAAGGAAAAGTCTCAAGTGAAGCTCTTGCATATCCATTTTGTTTCTTTCCTTTTTAAAATTTTATTTAAAAAAAATTGTTTTATAGAGCTGGGGATTGAACTCAGGGCCTCAGACTGCTAGGCAAGCACTTGGCCACTGTATTACACCCCCAGCCTTGCAAATCCACTTTCGTCAAATGCGGTTTTATACCTGTGGGATGGGACAATTGCTGCTTTCAGAGCTCTTCCCAGAATGCCAGTGCAGGAGAAGTGATATTTTCAAGCTATTTCAGTTCCCCTTTCCTAGGGAAGTAGGTATAGGCTGAGAGACCTCCAGAGCTGACTGGATTCCATACTTGCAGGGCGTAGCAGTGGACAGCTGACCTGCTGCTTCTCTGTTGCCTGAGGCTGTGTTCTTCCTGCCAGTAAAGGTCATTTATATCAGGATCCTCCTGGGCTTGTCATATCTTGATAAATATTTCAAAAGGCCAGGCAGGGGATAAGAAAGGGTCAAGATCAATCTTCCTCAGCTGGGCTCACATCAGCTTGGGACCCTGCTGCCTGGAGCCTGACTGAGTGATGCTTGAAGGTTATTCTCTTTTTGAAGAGGCGCTGGCACCCAGCCGAGGTTTGCTGGAAAGTCCTGTTTGGGTGAACTGGAGTATTTGCATTTCTCACATAATGTCAGACCCAAGGAGTCTTGCGGATTGGCACTGTTGTAGAGTTCACCGCTGGGTCCCTTTTCTGCCAAGAGAAGAGGGTTAAAGCATTTCAAGAA